GGTCTGCACACTTCCACCTTCGCAACATTAACCGTCTCCGTTCCTCCCTCCCCACTCACACTGCCTCTGTCCTTATCCACAGCCTCATCACCTCCCGTATTGATTATTGCAATTCTCTTCTTTTCAGCTCCCTCATAAATCTCTCCATAAACACCAAAATCTTCAGAATTCAGCAGCTCGTGTCATCACATGAACCCCCTCCTTCCATCATATTTCCCCTGTCCTTCACCAACTCCATTGGCTCCCAGTTCAATTCAGAATACAATTTAAAATCCTTCTCTATACTTTCAAAGCCATCCATAACCATAATCTCTCAGATCTTCTTCACATTGCCACCTCCTCCCGCTCCCTTAGATCCTCCTCCTCCATCCACCACACTGTACCCCCAGCTCGACTTGTCACCATGAGGAGCAGAGCCTTCAGCCGCTCTGCTCCCCAGCTCTGGAACTCACTTTCTCCTGACCTCCGCAGTATTGACTCTCTCCCCTTAAGGTCAGTATTTCCTAGCAACAGCCCTGAAACATCACTTCTGTAGAGGAGATCTGATGGACAAATGAAGCAAAATAACATCTACAGTCTGAGCAAACTGGAGGAGACGGACAGGAAACATCCAACCTCACCGAAAACAACGGTTAGATACAAAGTGTTCAGTTCAATCTTTGTTACTGAACAAATCCTGATTTTTTTTTTATATATATATTAAAATTATTTACAATCCTACAATATCATTTCCTGGATTTCTTTTCCTATTATGTCTCTCAGAGTTGAAGTGAATCTACAATGAAAATCACAGACAAGGCAAGGCAAATTTATTTGTAAGGCCCATTTCATTACATGGACAATTCAAAGTGCTTTACATGAATTATTTATTAAAATATAAGAAAAATAAACGCTATATAAAAGCATAAACCTTATTGCAGAACTCTCATCTTGGTAAATAGGAGAACTTCCACAATAAGCAAGCTCCTAAATAGGAGAAGTTTTACATGTTTGCAAAAAAGACTGAAGTTTTGTCGAAATGATAAAAAAATAAACCCATCTAGATCCATGTCTAATCAACCAATCGCATGTGAGCCTTTAAAATAAAATACTGCAATCAAAAGGATAAGTAAGATCAAGGAGAACCATGACAATGGATGCTTTTGAGTCAGCTGACCTCTTAATGTCAGTAGAAAGAAAGTAAGGCCGTTTCTGTGGTGGAGCTAACCTAAAGACAAACACCTCCAACATGTTAACATTTTACCATCTTTGAAAAGAACGAGACGGAATCACAAAATCGAAATGAAATAAAGCAAACCAAAGATTATCCAGTTAAAATCGAATACAGCTTTTGTGTAATTCAATAAGAATATTGGCAAAAAAAACCCGTTTAGCAGATTAGTCAAAAAATGTTTTTAGTCAAATCAAAACAGCTGATTAATTACATTATTTAGAAATTTATAGATATGTTTATTTTATAAAATACATAATTATTTTTATTTTTTTATCATTATTTCATTTTCATTTATTTATTTTTATTTATTAAATACTTATACTAATTCATTGCTAAAGAAGAAACCTCTCTCTTTGCAGAGAAATAAATCATGCAGACTAACAGAAGTGTTTTCAATGTCAGCTGCTGCAACTAAATATTACTTTACAAAACATTTTTGCTGTCATATCACTAAAAATTGAAGGTTCTACAGGATTCGTCCTCGTCCAGCTTTGAAATCATGTTTTTTTTTACATCTAGTAGGTCGTGAAGAGAAACCTTACCACACAGATGACTCATACTGACTGCAACAAGACAGACTCTGTTTTACACACATAAAGGATCCATTTTATCCAAAACATGGATTACAATAAAGTCTTAGGAATTCAATGAAGCACCATTCAGTGTTTTAAGAATAATATGGCCAACAAATACAGAGAGAGAAAAAAAAAAAAGATACATTCAGTGACAACTAGGAATTTCTAATCCCACACCACAGTAACTAGTTTTTTTTTTTTTTTTGTTAAATGCCTCATTTGATGCTTGGATCTTAGTTGTTGCATTTTATTGCTCACTAATATGAGTTTTTTTTTTTTTTTTTTTACAATTATTAATAATTTATTAAAACAATTTTGCGGGAAGAAACCAGCAAAGGTCTGGAGAATGTAGACCAGTCTTCCTTTATCTTCTGTGCTCCTTTGATTCAGCAGTATGCTATGGCGCGTAGAGATGGTGATATCGGTGTTTTAACCTTTTATCGGACGATTCTTGCAAGCGCTCCAGGATTTATTAGTGCATTCAGCAGCCATACATAACTTCTCCCTTCATCTGCTACAGAAGGGAGTGTTGGCCTAGTGGTTAAAGCAGTGCGCTTGTGCTCTGAGAAGGTTGCAAGTACCCGGTTAGATCCCCACAGCCTTCACTCTGGGTTCCTGAGCAAAACCCTTAACCCCACACCTGCACCCACGGCGCCACACAGTGGCAGCCCACTGCTCCCCAAGGGGATGGGTTAAATGCAGATGTAAATTTCTCCAATGTGAGATCAATAAAGTTCAAATATTATTATGTCCACTGATTGAAAATTGTGTAAGTGGAAGAAGAAGCAATATTGACTCCAAGAATCACCCTAAAATTATCAGCCACATATATCGGGGAAGAATAAATAAAAAAGAATAAAATACTGGCCTTAAAAAACCTGTACTGGTCTTAATCTCTAATAGTTAGGAGTCTGTCTAAGTAAGCATTTTGTTGTTGCGGTGATGTTTTTCAGTAGTAGAAGCTGATCAAAGTTAAAGGGAAGATGGATGTATTTTTTTTAGTTAGGCTGCAAAATTTAGAGAAATACTTCCATTAGGACAACAAGCGCAAACATACAACCAGAGCTGCGGCAAGACTCACATCAAAGTGTATGAATGTGTTAGAAAGTTCAAGTCAAAGTCCAACTCTAAATCCTACTGAGAACATCTGGCAAGATTTATTTACAAGGGCAAAAATAGCAGATAAATCCCCCAATAAACTCCCAGCTGTTGTTGCAAAGAAATGATGTTCTGTAAAGAACTGACCAGACTGGGATGAGCACCATGGACAGCACACTTTTTGGTTCTCAGTTGTTTTTTTCTTTTAAAATGTATCCCCATCTTTCCACTTCTCAGTTATAAATATCTTTATGGTTGACTATTGCATCCAATCTCAATAAAAATGTGCTAAAACTTGTGGTTTTAATTAGTGTTGCACCGATACCGATACTAGTATCGGGCGGAGCCCCCATCCAGCACTAAAATTGTGGTATCGGTATTGGCGAGTACTAGAGGTGTCAAGTAATGAAGTAGAAATACTTTATTACTGTACTTAAGTACACTTTTTAGGTATCTATACCTTACTCCATTACTTACTTTTCTTCCTACTTCTGACTTCTACTCATTACATTTTCACACAAGTATCTGTACTTTCTATTCCTTACATTTTTAAAACAAACGTTACTCGTTACTCTTGTCTTCGGTTTCATGTCTATAAATCTTTATTTCCAGTCATGTGCTCCATCCAATACAGATCATTGGCTCGATCCACATCTAGTGAAAACTTGTGTAATTAAATGAGTCATTTAACGCAAACACTCATTGGGTAGCTAAAGGAAATCATCAGAAACAAACAGGTGTTCTTCAAACTGCAAAACGTGAATTGTCTATGCCATGCTATAATGTAGGATTCAGAAAAAGATGCTGAAATGTCTAAAAGGTCGGACACTGGCGAGAGCGTATCGGGAGATGGAGACCAACAAAACCTCCTTCATCCTTGACCCTATCTGAAATAGTTGAAAAATTAAGCTTTTGAGTACCGTCAAATAGCGCACAGATACCATTTTGAGAGCCAAAAGTTTATTCAACTATTGTCCCCCATTCCAGGTAGGCAATAACAGGTTTTACTGGATTCACTTTGTATTAGTCTTTTTCCTGCTTCACAAAGGTAGGCAGCAGCTTGACAAAGCCATGATGGCAATTATTTTACATCCAAGTAGTAGGCAGTTCTCCAAAATTTACACACACACATCAATTTCAAACAGATGGTATCGGTATCAGCCAATACTACACAGCCGGGTATCAGCTGTCGGGTATTGGGGCCAAAAGATGGCATCACTAGTTTTACTGTGACAAATGTAAAAAATCCCAAAAGAGGAAGAAACACTTGTGTGGTCACTGTAGTTTTTGTGTCTTTGAACCAATACAAAGCCTCCTCAGTCATTCACTACATGCTTATTATCTTTGTCTATTTCTTTTAAAGGATTAAAAACATTTTTTTCATAGATTTAGACAGAAGTCAGGGGGACACATGCAATATTCTTGTATGAATTAAACATTAAATTTGCTGTATCTTATGGGATAATTTGAGTGGTAAATCTGATTTTTAAACAGATTTTCAGTCTAACAATGCATTGTGGAGTCACTTAAACAACACTAAACCAAACAGGGGCTCCTCAGATGTGACATCACCAAGGTAGACCCCACCCTCCCCTCCCTCAGCCGGTGCATCCAGACCATAACAACAAGCATACCTACAGCTGTCAAACATCAGCATGAGGATTCCAGATCTCACACACCCCCTCTCTGCTCTCTAGGTTTTGCATTTTAACCATAAATGAGCGTATGAAGCTTTAGCTTGTAAACACATCATAAGTCTGCCCTGACTTTTTATTATTATTATTATCTTGTCTGGGCTGTGTCATTAACAGAACAGGATAACTTTGATGTAAACCACTGCAACACTGCTAACTCCCTACATGTTAATTATAATGTTACCAGATAACAGCCGGTAAATTAGTCCTCTGACGTAATAAATAAATAAAGGCGTTGTTGTCATGTTTTGTCTCCTGTAGCTAAAGCCTGAATCCCTGCTGGAATGCCAGAGCTAGCTAGCTTCAGACTAGCAAATAAACCACCGACTACTTTGTTAATATGATAAAACTAATGTTATGTGATGCTATATAAAAACAGATTATTAGACAGCAGCAGAAAAAGTTGCTCTGCAGACTTACTTGGTCAGCTTTTTTTGTGTTTACTGAGTCTCTACGACGGCTGTAGAGGGAAGGTGCAGCGTACCTTGTACCGTTACATTCTCACCGCTCCCCGTTTCCCTGCCCAGCCCAGACTGTCACGGTCTGACGTCACCCTTGGAAATCATGTTGAGTTCGAGGACACAAAAAAAGCTCGGACATTCCGAGATTCATATCTAACTTTAGCACTTTAAAGCCAGGACCATGAAATCGTTTTCAGATAACTTCTTTTTTTTCTATCAAAGTAGTGTTGCCCTTGAACTTTATGGCATAAAAAAATTATATGATGCAGAAGTTAAATTAGAACAATTAATTGCATTATTATAAAATACATTTTGTAGAAGTTAAATTAGAATCATTGATTGCATCTTTGTGATATAAGGAAGAGGATTAGGGCCACTGAAAAAAAAAGTTAACTGATTTTTTAATATTATTTCCGTTTAATATGGGGGGAAAAGTCAGAATTCTGACTTTAATCTCAGAATGCTGACTTTAATCTCAGAATGCTGACTGAATTCTGACAGCTAACAAACATTTTAGCATCAAGCCGTAGTCATGTCTGTTTTAAAGACTAAACGACTTTCTGTTCTTCCATTAACCCCTAGAACCCTACGGACCCACCGGTGGGTCCAGCTGCTACGTGACCTCGTAATTTTACCAAATCCCCAGTATTGATGTAAAAAACACATTTGGCACAGTTTGGTGACATTTTTGGATAAATGTGCCAAAATGGCCCCTCCGCCTAAGAAATTTCTCACTAATACCATTCTAAAATAAATATGATTCATCTGATTGAGTCCAAATTTGGTATATTTTTACACAACATTTAGATTTAAAAGTCTGTTCTTCTTTTTTGTGCTATAAATAATATTTTGGTAGTGTTTTGCAATGTTTATTTCAAAGAAAATTTTGGCGAGGTTCAAAAAATGCAAAATATTTTGTATTTTGTCCCTAATATTTCAGGCAGGGTCAAAACCATTCTATGACATCTTACCTTTACAGAGGTACCAAATGTCTCTTCTTAAATCTAATAGCTGTGAGGCTATAAGTGATTTACTTTTGGGTGTTTTTGTCAGGCAGAAATGTATTTATACCCCCTGAGGGTGTAAGAGGTTCTTCCATTAAAAAGTCTGAGATTAAAGTCAGAATTCCAAGATTGATGTCAAAATTCTGAGAAAAAAGTCAAAATTCAGAGATTAATGTCAGAATTCTGAGATTAAAGTCGGAATTCTGAGAAAAAAAGTCAGAATCCTGAGAAAAAAGTCACAATTCTGAGCTTGAAGTCAAAATTTTGAGAAAAAAGTCAAAATTCTGAGATTCTCAGAATTCTGAGATTTAAGTCAGAATTCTAACTTTTTTCCCATATTAATGGAAATATTTTTAAAACATAACGTTTTTTTATTTTTTTCAGTGGCCCTAATCCTATTCCGTAGTGATAGATCAGGCATTCCTATATAAACTTTTATTCGATTTTTTGTGCACTGCAGGTGTCTGATTTCGTAAATTAGGGTTTTCAAGAACAAAAACACCACACTGATGATGCAGGAGTCTCAAAAACTTATTTATTAAATATGATATGGTTGGTTTCAAAGAGTTAGATTCATTTCAGAGTCAGTTCTAGACCAAATCTAACAGCTGCCTAGGGTTAGGGTTATATATAAGCAAGCCATTTTCTGTGGAAACTAGTGTATTTTTTCTAACACTATGGCGACAGCCGTACTGCTCCACTCATGAAAGCAAAAATTATTGGTCCTTTTTTTGGCATTAAGACAATTACTCTTATTGCCACATTGCCAGACAGGACAGTGTATGAAAAAAAAAAAAAAAAAAAAAAAACTAGTGTATTTTTCCTTTATTTAAGTTGGTAGGACAATTTGAAGATAAAATAAGATGGTTTTTTGTTTAACATAAGAAGAAAAAAAAACACCAAAACCCTTAATTCTTCTTTCATGTGCATTAAATCTTATCTTTCTTCAAAAGCAAAAATACTATCAATGTATACAAAAATACATTGGCAAATCACCTTATCTAGCCGCTTAATTTAAGGGCAAATAAAGGGTACCGGTATTATTGATGTGAGCTATTTTAGACCAGTTTTTACAGTACATTACCAAATCAATTTCTCATGTAAATATGTGCTGACAGAAGAGAGCGTAACTGATTAATCACCTGGACTAATTTAACATGTAACTTAAAGGTTATTTAGATTTAAAATCAGTCGTAGAAAGATAGGTTCATGATTTCATTTGTTGAAACACAAATCTGTGATGTTGGCTTTGTAACACTGGAACAGAAACCACAACTGATAAGATCCTCAGACTCATTTGATTTTTTTAATTTTACAGTTTTATCTTATTAATGATTTAAAAATCAAGTTGTTGCACTTTTAACTTCAGTCATATTGAGGTAGATTCACAGGTGTTTTTCTGCTGTATTTGAGGATTACAGAGATGCAGATGGATATTTGGTTCATTTAATGTATCAAACAATGAACTTTTGCCCTGTTCTTTCCATTTAATTCCCCATGATTCAGTACTAAAGGCTGGAATCTTGCATGGTGAAATTGCATTTCAAAAAAGAAAAACAGCAACAGCGGATTATAAAGATAATCTGAGCCAAAATTAACAAGTGACTTCCCCAAAATGTAGTTGAGTGGAAAGTACAGTATTTGTCTTTGGAGCATTTGTTTTCAGAACGCCTCTTCTTGGCGCCTGTCTAGGACCGCCAATGTTACAGCTTGTAAGTGAAGGATGACAGCACAAAGCTACAGCTTAATTATTGACTTTAATAATATAACAAGTAACAGTAAAATGCATATACAAAACCAAATGTGATTCATCTCAACCACCAGAATGAATCTGGACTTTTTTATTATAAGAAAAACAAGAACATAAACAGTTTAACAGTCTCGATATATGTCTCTACGAATTTATCTAATATTGGACCAGTTTAAATGGTATTAGAAATGATGTAAGAATTGCTATCTACACATAATGTTGCAAGTATTGTGTAAAGTTTAACCTAAAGCACATATCTGTTAGAAACAAAGAAAAACTTTAAATAAATTGAGGAAAATTTTGGTTCAGCTTTCTTCAAAAGGGGTCTTTCAGTATCTAACATGTGGAGTTGGCAGGATTTCCCCCCCTTCTATAACTTTCCAAATTTTCCTCTGATATCTCCTGACCTCTGTGGTTTTTTTTTTTTGTATGCTGGGCACAAATTCAATCTTCCTCTTATGCAGTCATTATTTTGTTGATATGGATGTTTGAGTTCAAAGCATAAAAAAATAAATCGCTCTTTATCTTCAGCTTTCTGAACAAAACTAAAACTAATAGGGACCCAATAAAGAAATTGGCCCAAGAGCAGCATTATGCTGCCGTCACATTCCCCTTTATACAAGGTTTTCTTGTAGCATTGCTCAATCCACTGTCATCGTTTTCAACAGAAAAAAATAATTCTCTCTAGTTCAAAAATGAGATTTTTCCATCTTTATAAAAACAAAAATCCAAATCTTTTTTTGTGTCCTCTAAGAAAAAGCATGATTTAGCTGAGGGATGAAAATGATACATTTCCTCACAGCGCAAAAGACACAGGAAAAAAAAACCTAAGAGTGATTAAGAGCTGCTAAAAAACTTTGGAGTCATGTTTTTTTGGATTGTGGGAGTACCCAGAGAGAACAAACATGAATAAAAACATGCAAAAAGACTCAAGACCTATTAATACAAGACAATTGTGGATAATATCACATTTTTTTTAAAAAGAGAAAAAAATTAAATGTTTTTACTCTAAGAAAACGTGTCATTTGTTGTGATTTGGTTAATTTCTGGCTTTAGAAACTTAAATTCCTTTGTTGTATTTTTTTTACTTTTTTATCATACCGGTATATTTCTCCCTACAAAATGAGTCGCAGACAATTAAGCGAATCATAGATGTCTTATGTTTATCTACTTGATGGCTTTTTGTGTTTATACAACAAAAATTATAATCCTAATTTATACTCTTATCTACCTCAATTTCAATTTAAGGGCAAAAATAGTCATATTTGGCCTTCATTTGGAAAATTGTGTACATAACACAGTAAAATAATAGATCAAATTAAGACATTTCTTTTTATGCCAACCTTCACCAGATGACTCCCTGGGTGATGAGCCATATTTCCCATATTAAAACACAACGTTTCTTACTATAACTAAGTCACTTCTTTTCAGAAAACCTTTTTCTTAATTTTTCCATAAAATCAAACAGGTACCCAAATTATCATATTATAGCCATTTATTTGAATTTAATAATCATTTTAATTGATTTTTTTTAATACTACACTTAAAAAAAAAAAACATTTCTAAAACTTGGTTTGCCTTATGTTTAAATAAAAAAATATATACTTTTCCATTTCTCTTATTCATCCGCAACTTTTTTTTTTCTGTTTTAATCTCATGCAAAGCAGCTAATCTACTTTCTAAACTCACTGGTCTGTTTATTTTCCATTTTGTTGGGAAAAAATAAATAAAATATGACATGAAACTCAACCAGACTGAGTTTTAGAAAGTTACATCTAGAACCTTTTAAAGCCAGTAATTTAAAAAACGCACCAAAAGTGCAAAACATGTGAATCAAAACACAAAATAGAATCAATATAATAAAAAAGGGAAAAGGCGGCATACTGTTCATGCTCTCAGATGTAATTTCCTTTTAAAACTACATAATCTTAAAACTTTTATTAATTTGAACTCTTGGTTTTGACTCCAGTGTATTTATACACAGGTAAAGAGCTTAATGCAGCTTCATCAGTTATTTACATGCTTTTGCCAATCATTCCCATCTCTGACACACTTTCCTTAAGGCAAGTTTTAATAAAACAAAAACAATCAGAAGAGAATTCTTGCTTCCACACGTCAGAGACGCATTGATCAGGGGTTCAATGGCTAATCTTTTATTTAATGTTTGACTTGCTTGTTCAACGTCTCTCTTATCGCAGAAAAACAAATAAAGACTTATTAAACAAATCCTTTAGCAGATTTTCACTCACCTAAATCAGGTCCATCGAAGCCTCTGATGTTGACATTTATGAGGAGAAAATAACGGGATCTTTGATATTTCTAAACATGTTTTCAGGAAAGTTGTTTACTGAGCACTGACTACAGCTGATCAAAGGAAAACTGGCTGAATTGGATGTGTATTATTATTGATCAGTCTCTAACAATCAGGTTTATAGTCTTTATACAACTGATGCTCAAACACCGGCAGCTCAGTAATAAAATTACGGACGAGGCAGTAAAAGGAACGGCAGAGAAAAACTGAGAAAGCATTTCTAAAACATGAGTTTGAAAATCTGAGATCATTTTAACACTTTGTTCCAAACCTGAAATGATTTATTTTTTGACTTTATCAACCCTACGCCATTGCTAAACTGCAAAAAATGCTGCGGGTAAAGAAAAACTAGATTGTTGCTCAGATTTAATGATTTCTTTAAACCAACTGAACATCTTGCACAATAGAGGAATCCAGATAAGCAGTTTTATTTCATGAGCCTGCTCCATTTTAACTTTACATTTCCCATACCCTGAGGAAGAACCGGCGTTTACCTTTAATATTTATTGTAGAACATCTCTTCATTAATGGTGATTATTTAGATTTAACACAGCTCTGCTGCACATCACTTTTCTACCTTTTATTGGGCCTATAAATGTATAAAAAGATGTTTCCAGACACCTCTGTGGACATCAGCTTTTAGATTCCGTCACCATCGATGGTGGAAATGTTATTGTCTGATGACTGCGCTGGGTCTTTGTCCTCACTTCTTCCCAGCAGCCTGTTCAGCACCTTCCTGAAGGTGCCGCTGAAAGCCGGGCTGGAGAAGTAATAAACGACGGGGTTGAGGACGCTGTTGAAGTAGGTGAAACAGACGGACGTGTAGAAAGCCAGGTTGGCCTTTTCAAAATGTCTGCATTCGTCATACCACACCTTCAGGATCCACACTGCGATGCGGGACACGGTGCTGGGGAAGAAGCAGGTGATGAAGATGAGAGCCACGGCGGCTACGAACTGAACGGCGCGTTTGATCTTCCCCTTTTTGTCCAGAGTCCTGTTCCTCAGCTGCCAGGTGATTCGGATGGTGCAAAACGCCACGATGGCGGTGGGCAGGAAGAACTGGATGACATAAAAAGCGTTGTGCCAGGTGGACAGGGGGGTGAAGCCCATGCAGATGTTGAAGCTCTCACACTGTGTGCGGTTGCTGTTGTAGAAGAAGTGCTCATTAGCCAGCAGATACCCGGTGGCGAGAAAAATCAGTCCCCAAAGGCCGAGGGAGACCAGCAGAGCGTAGCCCAGACCCAGGCGGTTTATCGGGTTCCGCGGGTGGACGATTTTAAAGTACCGGTCCACGGCCACAGCAGTGAGGAAGAAGATCCCCGCTGCGCGGTTGGCAGCAAGCAAGAAGAGGAGGAGACGACACGGGACGTCGCCGTAGATCCAGTCCTTCCCGCGCCTGTAGTAGTCCGCCCTGAAGGGCAAGCAGAACAGCACGATGGAGTCGGCGACGGCCAGGTGAGTCAGGTACACGGAGTTGGGCTTCCAGGTGTCCATGTAGAAGATGAACATCCCCAGAGCCAAAACGTTCCCCATTAATCCAAACATGAACTCCAGGATCAGAACCGGAGGCAGAACCTGGTCCAGGATGGGCGACTCAAAGGCACAACACACCTCCGGCTGAGAGGCGTTCATCTTCAGACGTGGCGGGGAGGCACGAACAAGCTGCTGCTATAAAAGTGAGTCAACAAAGACCTGCTGCACCAGGTGCCTGTGTAGAGCAGCCAATCGTGTTTGCACTTAAACAAAAGGTTCACGGACAAACATGCAAATTTGAGCATCTGGGCACCATGTTATCTATGGGGAAGTGCTATCGACCCAAAGGAGCGTTATAACAACTGTAAATGTTATCCGTCTGGGGAGGGCACCTTCATTAGAAAACTATTATACCTGGGAATAGGTTTACTCATGGGTGATCAGCAGGACGCAGGAAAAACAACCAACCTGCGGCCATCTATGGGACTCATAAAGCTGGGGATGACGACAAAGCCAACTCTGGAAAAGAAAACACTTAAAACATTTAACAAAAACAAAAAATGACAAACCCAAAATGGAATAAAGATCAGACAGAAAAGACGGAGGGGCGTGAAATTTATTAGCCTACTGTTTGCATGAGTGAAGGACATTTGTGAAGGACTTGATTTAAACCACGACTTTGGCAAATAAGAGAAAGCAGCTATGAACTAAAAAAAAAAAAAAAAAAAAAGATAGATAGATAGAAATTGCCAAATGAGTGGCCAAGTCCGCACCTTTTTATGTACAGTAAATAAAATAGGTATAAAATGACTTAATGTGTACATTTTGGCCAGGCTGCTGTTGATGATGTTATAGGTGGCATCCATCCCAGTGAAAGTGCATATTTTGGTCTTTACTTCTTAACTTCACCCAGATCATCAATGCTGTCATCATCCACCTGCAAACAGAAGGAGAATGAACTCAGAAAAGGTTTGTTTGTTTCCTCAACATGAATGTTACATCACCAAGATTTCTATTAATGCTTAAAGTATCATCTGAAGCTTCGGTTATATGGACAAGTTACCAGGCTAAAACTGTGAAACATTCGAGTCAAAATATTCTGATCGTCTGTTTTATCCATATAAATCAGGCAGGCTGTCCTGCAGGTTTCAAAGGTGTCTCTGCTTCAACACAGTCGATTCTGATGATTGCACTTCAGGAACAGCCTGTTAATCAGCAATCAATGGCAATCAGCTGTGATGAAGAAGGGAAACAGCCTGCGCAAAGCAAAGCCTACAGCCTCCACTGTTCCTTCTGGCTCCACACAGACTTCCTTGGAGTCTGAGGAGAGCATGTGTGATATTTTTGCTAAAATCCATAGGAGCAAAACATGCGGAAATGACGCTTAAAGGGGATAGCAGTTTTTTTTTAATTTTTTTTACATTGGGCCCTTGATCTTACGTTATTACATCATGTTCTACTCATCCATATGAGATTTGATATATGAGGTTATATCCAAGTAACGTCTTCCTTTGGGCAACGAGTTGAAGGCACAAACTAAACCGTTCATAATTTATCATTTATGGTACGCCGGCATTCATGACATGTAGGCGAATCACTGTCCCCCAGACATCCACGGTTATATTCTTTTAAAACAAAGCGGAGTGTGTATGACATCATTCGTGCACCGGACACGAGTTGTGACAGGCAGCCCGGGCCACAGGCGACTACGCTCTACTCCTTCTATTCATTTAGCTAGCTAATCTGAATCGTTCAATTCCATTTGGAGAGCGAGATCATCTGTGTTAGTAGCATTAGACATCTTCCAGGCATGTGAGTAAAACTAGCAGCAGTTCAGCGGACAGGAAGAATGAATGGTAGCCGGCGCGTGAATGACGTCATACACACACTGCTTTGTTTTTAAAAAGTTATAAATATAAAAAACGTCATGACGCCATCTGCACGCGCCCGCTACCATTCATTCATTCATGGGTGGATCTGAGCGGCTCCGACAGAAATAACATTTGAAGGCAGGATAGTAATCTAGATGAACTGACTGCACTGATGATGTTTTCAGGTGGACTTTCTCACTTCAAAATAGATTCAAACTACTTTTTAGCCACTGATCACAGCAAATATAGCTGCCATTGTTACAGGCAAAGAAAGGATAGGGTAGCTCCGCCCAACGTGCATCAGACACACATTTTCCACCATGTAGCCAGAGCAGCAAAGATGCTTCAGCCAAGCATCAGAACTAAACTTGTACAAACATCAAAAATGAAGCAGCACATGTGTTTTAGCTGCTCCTGCTGCTTTAGGTGTGAACGTAGCATAGCAGTGGCTAGCTTCCAGCAATGGTGTCTTGCACGAGCATTGGGGGGGTCGATTCGTTCATGTGTCAGGGTGTACGTGCACAGGGGGGAGGGACAAGCAGATGACCATGATTGATGTCTCAGGAACCTATTGTGTACAACGGACCGTATTTTGGGATTGGTTGGGGTTATTCATTGATCTCTCACTGTAGCAGGAACCATTTATTTTAGTTTCACTTCCAGACCTTCTATTTCACTGCTTGCTACGTGGCTGTGGGGAGATCTTTAAGCCACATGGTAAAAAATAGGACAGAAAAGATCTCCTACTGCACCTTTAATGCCTTAATTTAAAAAACAATAATTTAATGATTTTTAATGACCCGTGGGAACCCTCTATTAACCTTATAAAAAAAACACTAGAATCCGGTGTTTCCAAAACATTTAAGGACTTTCAAAGATGTTTTTATGGCTATTTTTTTTACAGACTTAAGGCCTTGAACTCATTTTTTTCTTTACTTAACAACTTAAGGACCTATTAAAACAAACACTTGATACATATCTAAAGTACTTTTTCCCCATTTAAACAATCAACACCAGTGTCACGTGGTCCTTAATAATTTTTTCTTAAGTTATTTTTTTTATGTATAAAGTTAAGGAATAAAATTCAAGCACCAAAAAACAAAGATATACTGGCAGACATCAAATCTTTCCCCTGAAGGTGGACATTTTTACCTCAGGCCACTTTTCTTGAATGACGTCGATTATGTCGTCTGTAAAATCTCCCTGAATGATTATTTCATCCTCGGCTGTAACTGAGGCACCACAAGAGAACTTCTGAGCGAAGAATCGCTGAGCCTCCTTGAGCTCGATGTCTGAAACGGAGGATCCACATTTAGAAGGGAGTCAAAGAGCAGCGTTTAAATGAAGGGAGAAAAAAAGAAGACTCACCAAAGGTTGCCAGGCCACACACTCGTGTGACGTATTTCTTCTTGGCTCTCGGGATTTTTGCTATCGTGACTTTCTGGGGAACGGTCTTCTTTTTCTGTTTAATTTGGCCTCTTCCACCTAAACAGGAATAAAAACAAAACAGTTCCGTTCATCACAGTCAAAGACGCCGGGAGATCTGAAGCTTCAGGAAAACAACCCCACAGATCATGCATCATATCTAAAACTATCCGGCCTTCCCATCGGTAAAACTCTTAATTCAGTAATACGAAACAATTCTGTTTGTTTACCAGGTTTAGATTAGCTATAAGTCATTATTTTAACAGTTGAAGCTTTTTATTGAGACTTGATTCACAAACTGCAGATGCATCAATCTTATTTATCTTATCGAATTTAGGTGTTCAGGCTGACGTATAAAAAATCTTAAATAGAAATTTTCTAAATTTTGGGACAATAGCGTCTGATAAAGAGTACATTTATGTACTTGTTTAAGCCAGAATGATTACACATTTAAATATGACTTCCCTACGACTTTAAGCTGAATCAGGCATCATCCTTTGCATGACGGAAGGGATGGGGCATCGTTTTAGTTTCACTAGCTACGTTTACATGGACACAACTAATCGGATTGAAGGCCTGATCAGATCAAAAATGTTTCATGTAAACATGTCAGACTGAAGATTCTAATCCGATTCGGTCCGATCGGATCTAAATTTAATTCCGAAAGAGAGAGGTGGTTTTTGCCGATCGCCATTCCGATTGGCGTCCATGTAAACACCCATTCGGATCTTAAGAGTAAAATAATCTTCACTGCGCATGTGTGCGACGTCAGCGTGACGTTTTTCCGCCTTGTCTACAACAGGAAACCACCGGTCGCTCTCGCTGTGAACAACATGGCGGGGGGAGTCTAGGAATGCCAACTTATACACTCAAGTTCATTTAAAGCTGCAGGAAGCAGGAATTTATCCTCCTCCTCTTCCTCTTTTCTCTCTCCACAGCCCACTCGCTCTCCCACGCCGGTTCAATCGCTCATTCTCTACATTTTCTCTCGGACATTTCGCTGCCAAGCACTTTTTTCCTCCTCTCTCCTTTTTTCTTTCCGCTCGCTCCGAGCGCATCGTTTGTCAGGCCTCCCAAAAACCAGACGCAGACAGAACTGCCAAGTTTGGCAGGAAGTTCTGCGCATGCTTAAAAGATTTAATATGATCCAACGCTTGGTACATGTAGACACACGTCATGATCGGATCATTTCATTTAGTGTCCATGTAAACAGAGATTTTGAATTTCCGATCAACCAAGGTTTGGATCGGATCGGGGAAATTTTGCGCATGTAAACGTAGCTAATGATTCGTCCCGGTTCTAAATCTTCATTTCATTTGGGATTTAGTGGCTGACTAGCTCAAGTGGTAAGCCACCCATCCTGCAAACCCATAGTCAATACCTGTTATTGAAACTTCATTTCATTGATCTGTACTTATAACAGTGTAATGACAATAAAACACTGGGAAAAAAACAAACAAAAGTCAGCAATACATATGCAGGGAGGAACAAACTGCCTCGGGGAACACGGTGCAGCGGGTCAAAGAGGAGACTCTCATCCTGAGCCGGGTGGTTTCTAAATCATGCCCATCCTTTGCCCCAATCGTAGGCGTCACACGTGGCCCACAGTTTAAGCCAGACTTTTAAATTATTCTTTGCTGGAATTCAGCTGCTTATCCTTCAGGTTAAAATTAGGAAACCATACATTACAAATCTTAAAAATTCTGTGACAATTTAAAAGCTTAGAACCGGTTCCAAAGGATTATAGTTTTTTTAATCCACTATGAGGTCACGTTTAGGCACATCCCACCTAAATACAGTATTACTGCGCTACACATGCCAATGCACACACCTCGTTTTTGCTTTTTCTTCTCCTCTTCTTCACCTGCAGGGGGAGCTTCTCCAGTGCCGGATTCCTGTTTGGGAGCATTTCCTGCCGGACCAGAGGGACAAAAGAAAAAAGAGGAATTAGAACCAGTTTTGTAAAAATACGGTCAATTACAGGAAACCTGCTTCCGTTACTCCATATTTGTTTTACTTTAGTTCAGTCACTGACAAAACGAAGATAAACACGACTCTGAAGTTTAAAGGTCCATTTACTAAAGACGATTTTCTAAAAGACTAGTTCTGTGCTTTACACTTTTTAATCTAAATTTGTTAGTAAAGATTTTTTGTTAGCACCACCCAGTGATATATACAAACAATGAAGATGAGGAGGAAAAAGACTAGAACATCCCTGGGAATGCAGTCTGATTGTTGGCAATAATTTATGTGGAAGCTAAAGCCCCTGTCACACCTTGACACAACACGTCGCAAACGGCAAGTACTTCGAGACGTTTTAACGTATGCCAGCGGATGCCATAGGTGGGGCATAATCTCCAGGTAACGTATCTGATCGTTGACATATGTTAAGTGTAAGTTACTCATTAAGGGCAGATTAGACTTCTGCAACCGCACACAACAAATGTCGCTTGGGTCTGGTCGCAAACCAGTTTTGCTGGTCGGTCTGGAATTTCTAGGGACGCACAGCAGTTTCCCGCACATGCGCAAGGGGGAGTCTATTCGAAAACTCGTGAGAACTTCAGCGGATGGGTGCGAGAACTTTGGCGGCGCCGGGGAGAGTGTTTATGTTCCAAAACAACAATGGCGCGCCTGCAAGATATCACGGAGATGGATCTAGAGTTGCTAGACATCGAACAGGAACAAGTTCTGTTAATGGAGTTGGCAAAAAGACCAATTAACCTTTCGTCGTAGTTGTCCATTGTAGCCTCGGTTTTTAAAAATGGCGCGCCCCGGCACCTAATCGAGACGGGCGACCACACAGACAGCCAGAAAGGCATACCAAGGACCAGTCACAGCTGCTTTTTGTCTGCGCACTTCCGCTTGAGGTCTGCGTGGGTTTGCGACCGTCCGACGCTTAGTCAGGATTTTTTTTAGGTGCGCGACGACGGTTGAAGAACCTCTGGGCAGGGGGCGTGGTCACGCAAAGAGACAGATTTGACTGTTGCAGAGGCTATGCGTCAGTATCATAAATTGGCCTTACGTTGTGGCGTCTAGCTTATCCAAAACCTATGAGTTACTTCTGCATAACTTATCTCCAACGCACATCAACGTATCTGACTGTTTCCAGAGGTCCACTGAACGTTTTTCTAACTTCCAGCTACTGTTTAATGGTATATCGGCAGCATTTTGCTATAAAAGGGGGTTCACAGGAAAAACGGTCAGTTCTCCTCCAGACTTCATCAACCCATCATAGGGTGAGCAAGAAGGTGAGTGTGATGATCCTCCCTGCGATCACGCCCAACAAACTTCCTGGCAGACATTATGCTGAATCTGCTGCGACTGCAAACCTTTTTTTTTTTTTGGCGGACGATAAACAGCAGCTGTTTTAATACCGCCATCAGAGAAATCTTTTTATGTAGGACGGGCGCCTCCGGGCACTTTGCTAACCCCCTCAGGACAGGCTTGTGCATAATTTCATAGACATTACGCTGCTATATGTTATGGATAAGTTAGGCTGCCGTTGGACATAAGTTCTGGACCCGTTATGAATACACTATGTTTACGCCCAAAATTGAAAAAATACATAGAAAGTTCAGCCTATGCCAACCATTGAGGAGAACCTGGGACCTCGGGCATATGCTGGCTAAATCGTCAAGGTGTGACAAGGGCGTGATGTGTTGAGATGTTCTCACAGGAGGCTAATCAGAGGCTCAGATTCACTAGAACTGCCTCCATTGCCACCATCTGGCTCTAATAGATCTGTGATTCTGCCATTAGTTGGCGCCACGTCTCGTGGTCAGCCATTTAGGTTTTCAAAAGGATTTTCTAAACATCATCTAGACTCATGATTTTTACAATCTTTTTACGATGATCATATGGTTTTTGATCTTTCTTATACAGCCACATCGTGTGACTATGCTCATTTAAACTTATCAAGTTTTCTTCTAAGCTCCAGCTTTATGGGAAATGGTACATCCAGATTTATCTTTAAAGCATTTGTCCCACTGAATAGCTTCCCGATATGAAGGGCTGCAACTAACAATTATTTTTTACAATTTGATTAATCTGTTGATTATTTTCCAATTCATCATCGGATAGCCAAAGGTTCCTTAAAGCACACATTTTATTAAATTAAACCAGATGAACCTAAAACTGGATAGAGCATATTGACAGGAAAGGTTTTTGTTTTTTTTTCTATCTTAAATGCAAAATGTTTATATATCTTGGTATTATTACTGCTTTAGTGGGTTGCTTTGTGAGGTAAAAGCATGTTTTAAAGTCTCTATACTTCAGTTAACATTTAACCAATTAATCATGAGAAATCGAATTAATTGTTTCAGCCCTTCTGAAATGTTTGTTTTGGTTTCCAAAGAGAGAACCTCCATAATATCATTGCAATCTTTCACTGTAGCACAGATCATATCTTCTGACCTAAAAGCGAGAGAAGCTGTACCGCCATTAAATTAGCTTCCTCCCACCCTCTCTTTAATAATCCAACCCTAATGACCAGCATCCTTAACACTGGGATGAGGTGAAGCAAAAAAAAAAAAAAAAAAGCCACTCACCGACAGTCATCTTTGCAAACACGTCTGGAAAGTTCTTCTCAAGCCACTGCCTACATTTGGCTGGCTCAGGCATGTACTCACAGTACTGCAGAGACATCACTAATTTACAAATCTAGAAAAACAATCTGCAGAAGCTTATTTATAGATAACTAGGCCAAAAAAATTGCTGTAGAAGAACTGTCTAATGATCAAACTCACCTCTGTAGGAAGGGAACACACTGGAGGAGAGAAAAAGAGAAACAAAGAAACAAGGATTAAAGGAAGCAAAGTAAACAATGATCCAAAACCAAAAGGAGCTTTACCTCCACAGTAGAGAACTTTAAGGGGGTATTTCGAATCAGAGTCTAAAGATCCATGGTCCGATCTGCTTTCTGAAGACCCAGATTCCATTTCAGTAGTAGCCATCATAAACAATCTGGACAAGGGGAAAATCATCAGAAAGGTAGCAAGAAAATAAAAAGGCTGTTGGCATGACATCTGAACTTTGTTCTTTCTCACGGGTCAGAAAAAAAATTCTACTTTCTCCGTTCAACAAGCAAGATTCCAGCTAGTAATGAAAAATATTCATTATACTCCCATCAAATATTTTTTTTTTTTTTTTTTTTTTTTTTTTACAGTAGTTTAGAATCATTAGTTGCCTTTTGGTATCTCAGATGTCCATCAGGAACACATGTAAACTGATGTTTACAACTCATAATGCTATTTATGTTCATCTCAAGGACCCTTTAAAAAGGAAGGTTAGTAACAAAAGTTTTGATCGTCTTTAAACTTACAAATTGGATGAAACTCTGCTTTAAGATGAGTCAATAATCTATCCAACCTCAGAGGTAGACAGTTTTCTCTTTAAAAGGTTACACAAAAGCATTGCACAACTCAAAAATTTTTCTGTCCATCAGCTGATGATCAAGAAAGGTAAACAATACAGTAGACAATATGAAAAAACAAATACACCTGCTTCCATTACTCCATTTTTGTATCACTTTAGTTGAGTCACTCTGACAGAACAGAGATAAACATGACTCTGAAGTTTAACGGTGCATTTAATAAAGAAATTTTTCTGAAAGATTACTTTTGTCTTTTACCCTTTTCGGTCTAAAATTGTTAGTGCAGTAGCAGCCATTCAAAATGGCCCTTCCCAGTCAAACCCCAGCCGAATGGCACCCCCCTTCCCTGCAACTTCCAGCAATATCCCCTCCAACTTCCAGCCATTCGACTGACCTCCTCTTGCATAATTTTATACTCCGATTCCACCCTTTCACTGTATTACAGGGTCTGACCAGGAGATGATGCTTCCCTTTAGATCTTAATGTCCACAAATCGTGACAGAAAAAATATTTTAGCACAAAGATTGATGTTTAAAAAGGAATTGTAGGGGACCAGCTAAGGAAAGTGTGGACAGTTTGAATAGCTACTACTGTAAACTGTGCATTATTGCCCAATTCCTGAAGATCCTATCCTTTAAATTAAATATCAATTGAGACACAAGCTACCTTTTTTAAAAACTAACAAAATCATCATCCCATCAATTGAAAAATTGGGTAAACACTCCAAAAAGGATGTCAATCATGCCACTATGATAAAGTCAGGAAATGTGTCTGTAGACCAGAGTTTAATTAAAAACCTCAGAAGAAAACTCTGGATTCCTTTCCAGACAGTAAGTCCCTGCTGTGACATACAAAAAGCTGATTAAATATTTGATGATTTAACCGCAGCCCATCAGTTGAATCTAAATAGCTACACCGCTGAAATAGCTTTAGCCAGCTAGCACATGCGGTTTTATTGGCTGGAAGCGTTTTTAAACAGAGCAGTAAGCGAATATTACCTCCACAAAACATTCAATAAAAACAGAAATATGCTGCGGATCCTGTCACGGCATAAAGCCGAGCTAAAACGGGACGCCAGGCTCTCTGCTCAGCGCTTTCATTCATCAGGTTACGCAGACTCACCAGCTGTCACCGTTAGCGGGCTAGCTAAGCAGCACATCGACTAACTGCAGCTGGAAAAAAGTGATTTAAGACGCGGAAAACGGGCCGTTCCCTACCTCACACGGTAAACTCTTAAAATAGCTGGTTCAACAGAAGATCCTCTTGCATTATTAAGGTCAGGTTTACTTTTAGAACATTATTCTCGCCAGATAAGGTTCAGTTGGCATACTTCGAGCACGCCTTGTTACACCTCCTCCGAGGGGAGTTTAGCCAATAATATATAGCTGCAGCCTTTCAACACCCTTCTCAGCCACCGTAGACTGGAACTACTTCCGGGTTATGCGGGGATTTGCTTCCGGGACTTTTGGGAGTATCACAAATCAGATTATGGATTGAATTTATGATAACCAAAATTAGGACAACTTATTTGAAATTCCCAATTCCTCCGAAATATAAAGAATTACAATTTAAAATAATAAATGACATATATCCTTCAAACGAGTACTTAAGAGAGAGATTTAAATTCAATGTTGGGAATTGTGGTTTCTGTACAACTCAATTGGAAAATACTAATCATTTTTTTTATGAATGTAAAGAAGTAAGAAACCTATGGGATCAACTTAAGATCTTTCTATCTTCTAGATCTATAAATGCGGACTTTAATTCCTTACAAATAATTCAGTTTGGTTTATATATTAATGAAAAAAGGTGGAATTCTTAGTTAATACTTTGATGATTATAATATGCAAGATGCTCCCTCTCATTCTCTGCTCTCAAAAACGAACTTTCCTCCTTTAATGATGTCTGAAAAAGATGCAGAACCTTAAAGCAAATAAATTGTCTGAATTATTGGAAGAATTTCAGTTAGTCCCCTCTCATTAATAATTTTTTTTTTTTTTTTTCTCTTCCTTGTTCTAGCCTCTAATTTATATTGGAGTTAATAGGAGTTGTGATCTTATTTGTTTCTTGTAATGCTCATTATTGACGTATTGATGAGATTGTCATTGATATTCTTTATTTTTTAATAATATATATATATATAAAAAAAACTTTGGATAAATTGGAGACATAAAAGCTTCAAATCTTGGTTTGACTCAGTTTCAGTTTGGCTTTCCGGTTCCACAGTCACCAATTCCACCATTGTTATTTATCGCACCAGAAGTTGATCTGCAATTGGGGGAATTTATTAAAAAGGGAAAAACTCCAGAATAGATTATAGTTAATAATTATTTTTGGAAGACTTAAACATAGTGTAATTATATTTACAAATGGTTACAATTGATTTTTTCTGTATGTCTGTCAGTCTGTCTATGTAGATGGATGGAAGGCTTTTTTGGCCCACCTTCTCTTTCCTTTCTTTTCTTTTTTGGGATTTTCTTTAATCAATTTTCACAGGTCAGCACAAGGTGACCTCTAAAAATGTGGTCATTTCAAATGGCTAAATCTGATCATCAGGGGGGCAAAGAGGGTTAACCATTCAAAACAAAAACTGTTTTGTGTGTGTGTGTGTGTGTGTGTGTGTGTGTGTGTGTGTGTGTGTGTGTGTGTGTGTGTGTGTGTGTGTGTGTGTGTGTGTGTGTGTGTGTGTGTGTGTGTGTGTGTGTGTGTGTATCACCTTCATGGCCAATCTAACTTATTTTTAAATCATTTTATTTGATAATTCTTTGGTAAATTGCTAATATAATGTGGATTTATATATCTAATAATTCATTATACTTTGTGTCTTCATTATGACAGCTGTGAGCCAGCCTAAAAATTTGTGTCGGCTCATCAGCCCTGGTTAGGTTTAAAACTAAAATGGGTTCTACGCTGAGCTCAGGTATGCACTGGTAATGATTAAGTTATTGTTAGGTCATAGAAAGGTTTGAAATTGACTGAAAATCAGTAAGAATCATCACATGGTTCTGTCTACTGTGTGGGGATGTGTGTAAGGTTGCCAAGTTGCCCTTAATAAGGGAACTATCCCTATTTTTAAGGAACTATTAGGTGTCTCATTTAATTGAGATTTGATTTAAATGTTTACTAAATCAACTCAAAAATACAATAAATGGCTAAAATTAATGTATAACGTCCGTAGGATCGAAGACTATTCCTTGCCTCGAAGTTACCCTAATCTGATTTTAAATATATACTTTTTTTCCTTCTTCTTTAAATCGCTTTTATTTTAAAAATGTGTACTGGGCGATGGTTTATGACGTCATGTAACAAATTTAACTTTCTCCTTCTCTAACTTTGTGATCTTCTTCAAGAATCTGTTACACATTTGTTCTGGTTGTGTCCATATTCTAAGACTTTCTGGCAACACTTTCCTAACTATGTGGATTCAAGTATTTTTAAAAATTTTCAGCTTAATTGGAAAGATGTTTTATTTGGTTTTTAACTGCAAAGTAAAATGTTTCCCAAACCTTTCCTTATCAATCTTCTATCTTCTTCTTCTTCTATCTTATATCTTCACTTGCATAAATTTAAATTTCTAAAAAAACAGGAAAAAAAAGGCCAGACCTTAATGTTTATTTAATTGAAGTCAAGCAATATTTTCATACTATTCAACTCTCTTCTCACCAGAAGGCACAAAAAACCATAGCAATCTGTTCCCAACTAAAAATTCTGGACTACTTAATGTTGTAGAAGAAATTTTTATTTGTAGAATATTCACATGTATATATGTATACATATACAGTATGTATATGCACGTATGATACTCCCCAGCGCATATGTTTGTCACTCTGTTTGTCTTTCCTCCTGAGTGTATTTATTATTTGTAACATAACCCCTGGCATATTTGTTTACTTGTATGTTTTATATATTATTGTTGGCTTTAAGTGAAATAAAAAAATAAATTAAAATATATATATATTTAGGTCTCTAACCAAATTCCTTCTTTCTTCTTCATACTTCTTACATTACATCACTACATGTTCTAGTGTTTGATCTTGTCCACAATATTCACATTTGCCTGACATTTTTTCCCCCTATTTTGAATAGTGTATTATTTAATCCTGTAAATCCAAATCTAAGTCTTGAAATAACTGTTTCCTCCCTTCTGCTATCCTCATTCCTCTGACTTTCTGTTGAATCCTATAAAACCATCTTCCTCTCCTTCTTCCCATTGTTTTTTGCCACCTTTCCTTTATCCTTTGTTTAATTATGATTTATTTTTTTTATGTTTCCTTAGTAATCTTATCTGCAATTTCATTTCCTTTAATCCATCTATGTGCTGGCATATATATAACACTAATACCAATCATTTGAACTTGATATAAAATTTGGTGTATTTTAATTAAAATGTCTAAACAACTTTCCGAAAAATTATTTTTTTTATACTGATTAAAGCTGAATTCGAATCTGAACATATAATTGATCTCAATGGTCTCGCTCAACTTTTTTTTTCTTCTTCAAATCGCTTTTATTTTGAAAATATCTGCTGGGCGATTGTTTATGACGTCACTGGGCACAGAAGTTGGTGAAACTCTTGTATGAAGCTGAAGGCAGCAACCTATTTATCGTAATATCTGTATTTTATTTAGTATCTAATGCTTATGTCACTAATGCAACTTTTTCCTATGAAGCTGTAGCATGTTTTCCACTCTAGGCTAGGCTAACCCCATTAGCTGTCAGCTTTTCCTTCCAGTAGGCTAATGCTATCAGCTCATTCTCAACAAGGAGAATGAAGCTGGAGGAAAGTAAAAACAGGCTGAGCTTGTATGTAAAGTTAATATGGACGGCAGAAGGAGACTATTTAGCTCCAATGACAGCGCTTTACAAAACCCCCCCTGCTCCCATGGCTCACATGGTAAACAGCTGATAAATCATCAACTGCCTCATAAGAAGAATGACTTCCTGCCATCTAACCTTCATTATTTGTTTCAGATGGCTCAGCTAAACTGTGGCACAGCACTCCGGTTAAAAAGGTAACAACCTTTATTTATGCATGGAAAGGTGTCAGTGCTTCCCTGATCTTAAGCTAATCTGAATATGCATTTTTCCCACATCTAAGTAATGTTTAAACTTGTTTTTCTCTGGTTGCATTGCTTTATTGTAACCATAAGCAGTGTGTTTTATGCTTTTGTCAGGCAGATGGTGGTTTTCCCCTTGATGCTAAGCAACCATCTGGTCTAACCAGAGGGAAGTTGGGCGGTTTCTCCTCCCAGTGGGTCCAAAGTGATGCTGCAGATCCCTGCTCTGCTCATCATGTACAGGATGCTGAGGTAAGGTCAACGCTTCATTAGGTAGTCCTCATTTTAACCATCACCAGACCCATGTGAATGACAGAGCTATTCAGGTGGTGACTGCATCATCAGCGACAGTCTAAATGAGTGCCACCAGTCCCACTCTAGTTGAATAAACCATAGATTTTATTAAGTTGCAAGGTTTTTACAGATCTCTTACAGTGGAGACAGCTAGGGGCGCTATAGCTCCCCCCGGAGAAGTTATAGCAACACACCACCCAAGAAAAATCTTGATTAATACCTTTTCATCAAAGTTAACATGGTGCCTCAAAACACAACCAGTTGTAATAAAAACTGTTTATATGTTGTTGTTTTTTTTTAAGTTAAATAATAAACTATAACAGTAGCCATCTATAGTCTACAGATGCGCTGCATTTTTTTTTAAGAGAACATTATTTATTTAGTAAATTATTATTATTTTAAAGTGTCTTGTATCATGTGGTGATACTCTGCTGCCCAAACTACTGTTCTGTAACTAATCTGTCATTACATAATTTAATTATCAATGTATTAATGTTAACTGTCTGCCAGTTTTGTCATAATTTTATATTTGATTGATAGATCTGTCATTTCAAAGTGTTTCTTTGTCGATCATAATATTTAGGTTGGGCTTTCTCAACTTAGAGTTAACTTCAGATTATGATGTGGGACAAACTATCATCTGGTTGAACCACTGCAGAGCTTTCCATGATAGCTATTTGTCCTAAATCTGTAATATTTGTGCTTTTATATTCCTCGGATAAATTCTATGAATTACTGCTACTTTAAATTGGCTCTGATTGGATTTTTATTTATTTGCAAAATTAGTTGTTTCTCTACCGTTTTATATATAATTAAAACATAATTAAATATTATAAATAAAAATATTTTGGTGGCATGTAATTCAACTAACTAAATACAGATAATTCTATATTTATAATTAATTTACTTAATGATAAACTTACATCTAGGCCACCAGATGTCACTGATGAATTTACATTTGATTCACTGTATTTTGGTTTCCCAGATCTAGGAAAACAAAATGCAGGAAATTGATTCTAACAGTTTATATCCTATATTCTACTCTATAGATGTGTTTTTATATGTTTTAAATGAATACCAGAACACTAAATGTTCATTATCTACTTTGCTATGGAGTTTTTCAGATTTAAGAGTAGTGAATGCAGCTCTGTTTTTGTTTGCATCAGTGAAAATTAAAACATGTTGGAACAAAGGATGCTTCAAAGCAGCTAAGCCCAACTTTAAGACCTGCAGAGAAAAATCTCTGGATTTATTATCCCATAATTATATACCTTCAGAGAGGACTGTCAACATATAAGCCACAAGAGGAGGCAGAAGAAAGGAGATCATGCAGGCATTTAGACCATGAGTCTGTAACCTGTGGCTCTTACGAAGCTCTACAACGTCTCTTCATCACTGACTAAAAATGAAAAAGAACCAGCTTATACTTTTGAACTTAAGTTATGATTAAAAAATGCAGGTTTTAGTATTTTCTCCATTGACTAATTGCAATAATAAAAAAAAAATAAATGCATTTATATAATATTTTCTTAAGTGGAAACATTTAATTCCATCCATTTATTCTCTTTTCAATTTCTTTTCCATCATTTTAAAACAAAACAAAAAAACATTACACAATTACTTTTTCCAAATAAAACCCCTGTTATTAAATATAACTTTCTTTCTCCTTTTTCTTTTAAAGTTCACACATTTTTAAACCTTTCTTTCCATGAAGCTTCCTGTAAAAGACCTCAGCGTCTCCACCCTCCAGAGGCAGAGAAAGGAGCTTCAGCTCCTAATGGCTGAGCTAAAGGACAGGGAGCGGGAGCTGAACGCCATGTCTGCTTCCCATCATAAGCAGCACCAGGCCTGGGAACAAGACCGTCACACCATGGTGATGTTGGAGCGCAGATGTGCTGGTTTGGAGGGTGAGAATAGCTGAATGCTGCTAACAGGATATGATGCATTACTAAACATTAATCTTCAGAGACTACACATTGTTTTTTTGTTAATATTAATTATCTCTGCTTAATTTGACTGAAAACCAAGCGTGTATGCTTACAGAAGAGTTGCAGAGCCGCAATGAGGTGATTCGAGTCCTGACTAAACATGTGGGCGTTGTGGAAAGCAGAGAGAAAGTGATGGAGAAGGAGCTGGGTGAAGCGAAGCAGCTGATCTGTGAACTGGAAAAGAAACAGCAGCACATCAATGAAAAGTGTCAGGACTATGAGGTAACGCCAATCTGTACTTTCATCTATCCTCCCATCCATCTATCCGTCCATCCACCCATCTATCCATATATTATATATATATATATTTGTGTATATATATATGTGTATATATGTATATATACGTATATATATGTATATGTATATATATGCGTATATATACTTAGATTTTTAAACAAACCTTACAAACTAAATTATATGAAGGAAAAATAAAATATAGAATAAAATATAGTGAACATGATCCAAATCTTGTTCACTTGTTTGTGAAACACCTTTTTTAAAATGCATTTGTTATTTTATGTGGGAATATTCGAGACCATCATCTATAACAGCCACCTGCTGATATGTTTTCTTAGTCCTTTTTCCATGTTCTTTTTTTTAAGGAAGGATTTTTTTTTTTTTTTTAAAGGACCTTTTTAATTAAAAACACACATTTATATTTCTGTTTCTGCAGCTCTTTTGCAATTATGTCTGTTATTTCTTTCAGGCAAAGAACCAGAGCCTCACCTCCACGGTCATGGCTCTTTCCACGCAAGTCGGCTCTCTGCAGGTCAGAGAGGAAGAACTGAGCTCAATGCTTAAGCTAAAAGTAAACCATCCAAAGCTCTCCTCAATCCAACGCTCATTACACACGTATTACAAATAAAAATGGTGATCTTACAACCTCTTGTGTCGTCGGTAGGACAAAGATGTGAGCGAAGCCTCTGGTCATATTCTGGAGTTGTCGGGGAAGCTGCAGGTCATGGAGACGTCTCTGGCAGAGAGTCGCTCACGGGAGCTCCAGCTCCTGAGAGATGTGGAGGAGGGGAAGCGTTGTTACAGAGAATCCGAACGGGACATCTCTCTTCTCAGAGGTAACTGCTTCATTCAGTTGGTAGAGGAGGCGTTTTTTAGTGGATCGACACATTATCAGAAAACAGAGAAGCTTATTTCTATTTATTATAAAGGTAAATAATATAAAAATCATGTATAGAAACATGGTGACTTGTATATTTATTTAAAAACTCCAAGAAAATATTAACAATGGATAGTAAATGGTGGGAGCAGCAATAAATGTGCTTTAGATATATTAATACAGGGCTCTATCTCTAGATAACAGTTTGAAAGAGGAAAAATGAAGAACAGGTGGTTTAATAAAGTTTTATATCCACCTCTATCATCTTTTTGCTAAACTTATAAAAAATACATCAGAAAGTGAGACATTGTGCCACTGGAATGAGACAATTTACATTTAAAATAAGAAAGTACAATTGTATCGTCTTATTTCAAGCGCATGTTATCTAATTATCTTATTCTAAGAGTGAAAATACTCATTCGATTGGCAAACTATCTCATTTACCTACTCAAATTTAGGGTAAATACACTTAATTTAAGAAAGTTTTACTTATTTCTAGATCGTTTTTCTAGTGCAACAATTTCTTTGCTAAGTTATCACATATGTGTTTCACTCCTCCAGTTGTCTATACAGTAACAACTGTCTTTTTTCTTGAAATAAGTGTATTATCCCTTTATTTGTGCAGGTAAGTCAGACAATTTGACAATGGAATAAGATGATTAGATTTATAATAATAAAAAAACACATAAGTGCAAAAATGCTCACTAAAATTGGCAGATTATCTCATGAAGCGACCTGAAGTGAAGACAAGTTCACTGGTTTGAAGAAACCTGTACTTATTTTAAGACCTCTTTTTTTTCAGTGTACCCTTTGGTTTTTTGGTTTTTTTAAAGCAGCCCAAATGAAATAAAAACCTCAGGTAGTGATCCAAAAATGTGTGGAAATGCATTCAATGATAAACAATCTGTTTGTTTCTGAAATCGGCTGATGGTTTCAGACTCCATTGAATCTTTGTCATGCTGTGTTTGCAGAGGAGCTGCAGCAGCAGGTGGCTCAAAGCAGCACCCAGAGAGAGGAGATCATCCGTCTGAAACAGGAGCTAAAGCTGCTTCACGCAGACCTGGCCCTGACGGGTACGAACAGAAACATCCACGCTCTCCTCCCTCAGGCTGAGAAACTATTTACAGCTTTGATCATGTTTCTATTTCTTCATTTTTAAAGGAAAAGTCCGCTCAGCAAGGAATAATCAATGGGTCATTATTTTTACCTAAAACCAGTGCGACCCCCCTGTGTAACTCATGAGACCCCCGAAACCCTTAAAAGCAAAATTTAAAGGGGGTCTTAAATTGTGTCAAAAAAAATGTGTCACTAATGGTCACTAAAATGTTTTTAAGCTCAACATGTCCAGTATTTAAAATTCAAAACATTTACTCACAAATATGTTCTGTTTTTTCAAATTAGTCATGTGTGCCCCAAACAGAAGAAAGACGTAACGTTGACAACAATTAATACTAAAAATGGGGGAGGCCGTGGAGCAGTTTCGAGAGTGGAAACTATTTTATTTTACTACCTAAGAAATAAAATATTTTCATGTTCCCCTTGCAATGCATTCACAGACCACTAGGGGTACTCGTACACCGGTTGGGAATCACTGCATTACAGCATGGTCAGGAATCAGTTAGTCCAGAGGTAACCAATTAAAAATCAGCAGGGGCCGAATAAGAAAACCATCAACCAGTAAAGGTCTGGAGACATTTTTTATTATAATCTGTTACTTTAAACCAAATTTAACACTGAAATAAAACAAGGTTTTTATGCGCCCATGTTATACACTGAATTTTTAAATTAAAAAAGATTTAAAAAAATAGAAGATTTTTCAATTTTAAAATCTAAAGTGTTTTGTTTTTTTTAAAGTAGAGAACAACAATCATTCAGTTTGCTAAATAGACAATTTCCTGATTTAAAATATTTTATAAAACACCTGAACTGACTGTTTGTTTGTTTTTTTTCTGTCTTAATGTTGGCAGTGGGCTTTATGCTGCCCTGCAAGGCTTTAAACCTGGTTTGAATGGAGACTAAGCCATTCTAAAGCACATATCAAGCTGCTCATTTTGAACCTGGATCCATATTTATTTTTGATTATGATCATGGTGGAGAATCCTGCTTCACAGCAGCAGGTTGAGCCAAACATCCTCTAAATGTGCAGGGTCATCTTTGAGCACCATTTCACTTTTCTTTCACCAGTTCACCACAGTTCTTCCAGCAGTCCACACTTTCTTTCACGTTTTCTCATCATCGTTACCCATCCGGCTTGCCACAGGTTTGCCTGCTGCAGCAACCCAGACTGACAGCAGCTCATTGGATAATAGCCTGGTGCCGGATGCTATGGAGGGCTTTACCGTACAAACAGGACAAGCGGCGCAAGTGAAATTAGACACTTCCGTCAGAAAACACGCAGTAATTTGTAAATGTTTTAAATCAGGTTGGGTCCAGATTAACCAGCAGGTGGGTCCAGATCCGGACCAAGGCCCACTAATCCGTGACCTCTGATTTAGTAGCTGCATCAATGGCCTTCATCTTGCTTTCTGGTAGCTCTGAGCTTCTGCCAGCAGATGGCACCACATGTTTTTATGTCCGCTCATGACGCCTCACGCTGAGGTTCTATTTAGGCTCCAAAAGGACGATCAAAACACTATCAGGATCGACGCTTGGAGTATATAGCCTATTTTATCATAATTAACTCAATTCTGGTGTTTTTTAGTTAATGCATGTAACCTGGCTGTTTACATATTAATATTAGCAATTTTGATGTAAACGCTGTTGTCTGACATATTTTCTTCTATACTTTTTCTCCAGATTTTTTTTTTCAAACAACTATGCTAATACATATCTTTCTTTTTTAACCGAATGTCAGATTCATGCTTTTCTGTGCGGTGGTCAGATGATGGGTGGGAATACTTTTACAGGGCACTTCAAACTAAACTGTGTGTAGTTGGTGTCCAACAGGTCTGTCTTATCTTCTCAGTCTGGATTTCTTTCTGCAGCAGCCGCTTCAGATGCCTCAGATTGCCAGATAGACTGAAACCTGCTGCTCTTCCTCGTTTACAGGGGAGGGCGAGAGCTGGAAGGATGAGCTGCTGGAGCTGTCTCGCTCCAAACAGGAACGCATCATGTCTGAGCTGCTCTGCCTGCAGCAGGTGAGGCTTTAGGTAACAAAGCTCTAACAGCAGGACTCTATCAGACCAGATGCACTAAATCCACAGAAAGAATAAAATCCCTGAAGATGATTCACATCTTTCCTCGTTCCTCCTGCTCTATGGGGGTGGGTTTCCTGTTTGTCTGCATTCCTCAGCAGGTTTCTGCAGTTCCCTGGCTCTAATGCTGTGCCTCTGGACACACATCAGCTGTAGAGACACAAGTTAAAGCCCCCCCAGCCCCCAAGTTTCAATGACATAAAGCATTTTCCAAAGCTACACATGTTCTTTAAAGTTCTTAAAGTATAAAATAACACATTATGGGATGATACTGCTGATATTTACTTTTTTAAAGGGTGTTTAAAAAGATTTACTGTTATAAGAAACGTGGATTTTGATTCAAGTCCTTTTCATGTCTAAGTATTGGGGTAAACATTTAAATACATTTTCAGAAAATGTAAATAAATAAAGGAAGAGTTTGGTTCCTTCCATCTCTGTCCATCCTTCCTCTTTGTTTGTTTTTCTTTTTTTCCATTCAGGCAATTTTTTCATTCTATCCCACGCTGTTAAAATTGACATATAACTTATTTTTAGTGTATTTTCCCATTATTTCAGCAGGTTATGAAGAAATATTCCCTTAATAATAAGAAAAAAAAAACAACCCAATTATTTTCTTTTCAAATGCGTAATATCTAATTGTCTTATATTACGGGGAAAGATACTCATTGCATTGACAGATTATCTTATTCAGCTTCTCAAATTAGGGAAAAATCCACGGATTTTAAGGATTTTTTTCTTATTTTCAGATTTTTTTTTTATTTTTATGTTTGTTCATGTGTCAGGTGCAAGTTTTGTTCCTTAAGAAAATATGAACTCACGTTAATTTACAGAAAACAATTTCTTTCTGACTTTAGTGATTTTTATTTGTCTCAAACTGAGAGACGAAACAGGAAGACGTCCAGTTAAGAGCCTCGGTGTCACAGCTAGCCTCCATGCAGGGTGACGCATTCTATCCCTACACCCACACAGCTCCTCAAATCATAAAATTTTAGTAATTCTTCTTCAATTTTGAGTTTGAGAAATATATAATTTTGATGTGAAATGTTTCACTTCATCAGAACAAGAAGCTGTAAAGCCATTTCCTGCTGCTGTGTTTTTTTTCCAGGTGTGTGAGAACCAGAGGAAAGACCTGCAGCTGCTGCGGCTGAACCAAGGGAGCACGCAGAGAGCACTGAGGGAGAAACTCAACAGGTGAAAACAGCATCCGTTTATGTCCGTTTAAGTCTTGAGAAAGGAGTTAATAATGAGCTGCAGTTTCTCTGTGTCCCAGCCAGGAGGAATGGGACGTCCAAGGTGAAGTCCAGGGCTCCATGGCAACCAATAGCAAACCTGGAGGCTTGTCATCACATGTAACGGATGTAAGATATTTTCTAAAAAGGCGATTTTACCAAAAAACAACAAACCTCTGCAAAAGATTACTTCAGGTTGATGGAAGAAACATTAAAAAATCTGCTTTAGGGTTTGATAACTTATTTAATATCTGTACAAATCAATAAACTAATGTTTAGTATGAAAACCTGCAGAAGGATGGAACCTTCAGCCCATATATCCTCCAGAATCTTAAAAAACTCATCTAATATTTTCATTTCCTGAAGTTACCTCTGATTGCATGGTGAGTTTGACCTTTTCAGTTTATGCTGATAAAACTCCCTGATGACTTTAAAGAGGCTCTATGCTTTACTGTGGGACATTCGGTATTACCTGTTTTTTTTAAGGCCCATACCAATTATTTTGATATCAGTCGGCCATTTTTCAGGGGGCTGATTTTTTTAAGCCAATATAAATTTCTCTATTTTAATTTACATAAAAACTACAGAATTAAAAATGCCAATGAAACTTCATTTAAAATAAATAAAAAGTTTATTAACAGATCAAACAAACATCAATGGATAGAAGGTATAATCGATGCATGAGATGATTTCTACGATGCATCGGCGAACTGATGCACGTATCGACCGATATGCTAATATGGGACAGAAAATAATTACTTAGGATTTTTCTGAGGTGTGTGACCACGCTCCCCATGCAGAGGTTCTGCAATCATTGTCAGAGACAGATTTGATGGTTGCAGAGGCTATGCATCGGAAGGATAAATTGGCCTTAAGTCTCTGTCTGTCTTACAGCACATTGAGCTTGTTCACATTTGGTCTCCTTGTGGATGGATGCTACTAGTAGCTCAGAAAAGCATTAGTGGACAAACTGCATCAGGGAGGCAGCATCACAACAGCAAAGATACCCGGAAGTTTTCCCTCTGCCTGAACTTAGCCTGCAGGGAAAACATTAAGAGAATAAAAGCAGGAGGTCCATGTAGAAATCTGTCGACTAGATCAGGGATTCCAACAAATGCATGTTCATAAATTACATTAAATTTTTAATACACAACTTTAAATGTATTTTCAATCATTTATTGCCACATTGTGTGTTTTATAATTTCATGGTATATCTGATAATTGAATCATGTATTCAATAAATACATTTTCAAATAACATTTGATTATATAATTGTTATTTTATGGTATATTTAATATTTAAATCAGGTTTTAGATGAATACATAAATAAATGTTATTTCTACCTATTTCATGGTACATATATTTATTTTTTGGAACATTTAGTAAGTTAAAGTTTATTTATAGTGTACCTTTCTCAGACAAGCATCACAAAGTGCTGTACAATATGAGGCATAAAATACAAAACGGCACCATTTAAATATACATATAGAAAAAATACAGGCATTGCAGCCCTTGATAAAATTAATTTGAAATGCTTGGTTGACATAAATGACATCTTAATGATTATGAAAACCATCTTGGTGTCTCATGACTCTCTGGGGGTTCCTGAACCTTCCTTTTTGAACCTCTGGACTAGTCTGCTATTAGTCCTGCTCTCCTGAACTCTGTTCTTTATATACGATGTAGGAGACACAGCAAATTTAAGGAAGAAGGGAATAAAAAAATTGCTTTTTTTGTTTGATGGAAAGTTGCACTACCCCCCCTGAGAAACATGGTAGTGGCAGCATGATGTTGAGGGGGTGTTTTCTTTTCCTGTAGGGGCCAGGAAGCTGGTGATTTTTCCCAGGTCCTGATGGAGTCTCCTGTCTGTCTCCCATCAGGCTGCTGATCAGCTGTCGGTCCGCTCTCTAAACCAGCTTTGGGGAAAGTCCAGCTTGATCCGAGTTCTTGCCGCTCCTGATAGCAGCAGTTTAAGGCATCCGCTGTGTGAGAGCCAGACAGCCCACCAGCAAGCAAACACCACGATACTAAAGGTAAAGCAGTGGTTTCAACCTAAACGGCCCTGTAATGGGCGGGGGTGGCACTAATTGAAAAAGTCGTCTTAGTTTGTTTGTTTTCTTTCCAACAGAGCAGCGATGCTCCACCCAAAGCCTGCCTCCATCACGGCGTCAGTCAACCAGACAGCACTGGACTCTTGTCTTAACTAAAATAAGCAATTTTCTCTGCAAACTTTGTATTATGAAGTGTAATCAGAACATTAAAAACACATATTTTTGTATTTTCAGGTGCTTATGTTAAAAAGCAATCTCTGCCTTTAACCTCAGGAAGGAAATGAAGTCGTTAAAAAGCAAACTTTCAAATGTGATCATGACCTCAGTGTTTTATGTTGCATTATTTTTTGTATTTTCTACATTTTTTATAATCTATGTAAGTCTGATGGTGGATTTACCTGCTCAGTGTTTTTTGTTTTTTAACCTTGAATCCTTTTGTACGTAATGTATTGTCTGAAGTGGGGGGAGACGTGAAACCAGTCTTACAGGGCTGATGAGAGCTGCGTCTTAGTGCCGTTTTTCCAGTTTCACTGCCTTCTCTCTGTGACTCAGAGGAAATATCTAAAGCTCTCATTTGCTTTTACATCTTGTAACCTGAAAGATTGGAAACAACTTCTTTTATATATGAATATATCTATATAAATACCTCTCTCAATCACCTTTTATCTCACCTTCTTCTTTCTGGTAATGCTTTTTTTTAAGTTAATCTATTTTTAATGTGTTGCTGCTTTATATTCTGTAGAAGTTTTTTCTTATTCCTTTAGCATTTTATTTTGAAAGGTCTGAAAATCAAGTTTAACAGGAGTGATCTGGTGACCTGACGCACCTTCAGTTGATTGTTTTTTTTTTTAAGCGGCCAGGAAAACTCTGGTGAAGAGCTGGATTTAAAAGTAGAAATACTTTGGATTCATTCGTCCAACTTTAAGGTGACAATATGAGTAAAACAAAGACTAAAAATGATAATAAGACGGAGAAAGCGCTCGCTGCGGAGAAAGAACAGTTTGGCAAACAGCAGGTGAGTAGAAAAACGGACATTTTTTAAAATAATCTTTGATTTTAAAGTATTTTGCCTCATATATTCGACAGCTAGAAACTAACATAACGTTTTAGTTCAAAGATGTTTCTTTTAAACAGTTTTTCAAATGGTTTCTACTGAGTGTTTATAACCAGTCAATATCTTACCTGTTGTACATAAAATAAAGCTTACTGCTTTTTACAAAAAGGGGTCATGAGAAAAACATGCTAGGGAATCGCTATTATATTAAATGCTACATTAGTTCTTATGAATACACAATTAAATCTAATCCCTTTTATTGTTTGTGTTTGATGGTTTTTTATGTGATTAGTTTGACTCAGCAGCTGATTTGATCTCTTGCCCTTTTTAATTATCTTTCTATTTGATTTGAAAACCAATCTAGACAGAATAAATGTTAATAAATAAGAAAAAAAACTATATAAATAGGTGCCTTTTTTATTTTATAATTTTTAGTCAGTCTAAAGTTATATGGTCCTTTTATTCCTCTCTTAGTGTTTCACATGGGAGGCTTATAGTGTTGAACCATAGAGCAACATAACTTCAGCATTCAATAAAAATTATGATTAAAATAAACATGACTTTAGTTCAAAGGTTTATTAAAGAATTATCAACCACACTGTGAAAAATCCAAATCTAGATAAGTCATTTTTTTCTGAAAATAAGTGCATTTGTTCTTGAATTGAGGAGTTAAAAGAGATATTTAGCCAATGGTACAAGACAATTTAGATTTAAAATAAAAAAAACAATTGCATTGTCTTGTTTCAAGTGCATATTATTGAAATATCTTATTATAAGAGTAAAATGCTCATTCAATTGGCAAACTATCTCATTTACATATTAAAATCAAGGTTAAATACACTTATTTTAAGACATTTTTACTTATTTCTAGGTCATTTTTCCAGTGCATAACTACATTTGATTGCTGAGTTGTCTTATTTTTGTAGAAGTACACTTTTTAATTGGCTCCAGTTTATTAGCCCTTAGCTTTAGCATCCTGGACAAACTAACATTCCTCCAAAATAAATACATTAGGTCTACAGCAAGTGAATAAATCACTTCAAGATGTTTTATGTTCACATTTAAAATGTTAGAGTAATATCTAATAAGTAAAAAATATATGTTGTATATAGTTTCTGTAAGTTTAACTTATTTATTGTTTCTAGTGGAGCACAGGGATTTTAAACTCTTTGCTTTTGTCATTTTCTTTTTTTCAGCTTCACAGTCTCAGCAAAATCGCCACCTCAGCTGAAGTTCCACCAAAAGAGAAATATGTGCGCAGTATCCTTTAAACATTGATAAATATATATATATGTAAGTGTGTTTGTGCATATGTACCTGTCTAGCCCTCAAAATGAGGACCATTTCTCCAAATTCACCATCAAATTGAGGATCAGTTGTTGCAAAGTGGTTTAGGGTTTGGGCATAGAAAGGGCTGGAAATGACTAAAAGTCAATGGGAGTCAACACATGTTCCTCACTATGACGTCAGCACGAGTATGTGTGTGTGTGTATGTGTGTTTATATATATATATATATATATATATATATATATATATATATATATATATATATATATATATATATATATATATATATATATATAAAACTTTATAATATCAAAACAGATTGTGATTAATATGATGATATGCTACTTTTTAACCAGTTAAATTGGGATTGTTTAACAGACAGGAAAACTACCAACTCATAGCTCATAAAATGCTACATGCTAATGGTAGATTACTTCAAGCTTTTAAAAAAAAAAAAAAAAAGGTTTTGATACATCAGCTTTAGTTGAAACACGCTTTTGTAATTGAATAAGTAGATCTATAGATATGTATATATTGCCTTAAATTTCTTCTTTTTTTTTCCTCTGACGCAGAAATAATTTTATCATTTTTTCTATCAAACTATTATTTGCATAAACACAGAAATAATTGCATTTTATTCGATATATTGTTATATAATAATATTCAATAAAACTAGGATTCATCTGGATCTGTGTGAAAAGCTATCATCCCTTAAGCCTTATAAATGGTTTGCTCTTTGCAGCTGCTTTATTTCAGTGAGCATGAATGGTGTTAATGTGAGGTCAGTCACACCACAACTACTCAACTGGAGGAAAGTCCACAGGTCTGATGAAGGTCTGCTAGGCCACTCCTAAACCTTATGCATAATATTCACTGTTGCATAGCCTAA